TTTTTTTAACAGACTTGAAACTTTGTTATGTAAGCCATTATCTACCTTAGAATCCTTTGCAAGCAATCTTTACAGAATCGATGGCCACACTCCGAAGTTTGCACGGCATCTCGCATCGGCAACAGGCACACCGGGCATTTCTGTTTGTCTGACACCTCGTCGACAAATTCGTACTCATAACCACCGAAATGTGGTGGAGTGTCTTCCTCGTCACTGGTTTGACCATCATAAGCATCAACCAAGTCTATTTCAAACCCATCTTCGAGTTCTTCCTCGTCGCTGGTTGAGCTTTCCGAAGAATCTAAGTCGAATTGATCTATTATATCACCCGCTACTTCCATCTTGTACAAAGCTCAGCGCGGAAGCAAAAGAATAAATGTTGTGAACGTGCGTGACGGCTAACTATTGAGATCAGGCGAGGTAGTCTTTGTGATCTACGATTGGTCGACTTCCGTAATGACTGACAGCTACCAAAAAGAAAACCAATCATATTGTTGAACCTAAGGGGCCCAGGCTCTCTAAACAACGAACACATCTTTGATAAGCACTTTCACTTTCTGCTTCCGCACTGGTATCTTTTTGCATCGATTGTGGAGGAAGAAACCGCTCAGAAGGTGAACTCAGAATTTGTGTTTGTAGATGAGTTGTCTCCAGGCCAGACCTGCCCCGTATGGCTTCTTGCCATGCGGAGCCCCGTACCATCGATGGAGGAGCCCCGTACAGATTATTTGCCTCAGCCTTCGGCTACGGCTTCGGCAAATAATTGATCTGCTAGCCCCTGACAAATCAAGATACTTTACTCAACCTCGTCCAATAATTGTTACTTATTCCGATTTCGGTTTAGAAAAACTCAGAAAACCAGTAAATCGACTCTCCAACTTTATAGGGGTTAACTCGAGAGAAAAAGCCAGATGCACTTTATTACCTCTAAAATAAAATAGCTTGCTGGGTCACGGAGAAGAAGAGAAAAAAACAACAAATCTTTTCCACATCAAAAGATATCTATTTTAATACTCAAATGTTATGCAAAATTACTTTCACTTTCAGAAGCAGTTACCAATGCAACACAGAAACAAATATGGAACCTGGCACTTACACCAATGCAAATATTGTGCGTACCGAATACAGAAAGTTGACAAAACGAGTTTAAAATAATTGAAAATGAACTGTAATTGTACAATTTCCTTTGAGCACAGAAATAATCAATTTTTGAGTTTCGCGCTTAAGATCAAGCCAGTCTGATGTCATCTTGGAATGTCATATTTTAACAGCTTTGATCTTAGTCAGTTGTTTAGAATAGTTTGACCGTCATAAGCATCAATAAAACCTATTTCAAATCCATCTTCGAATTCTTCCTCGTCGCTAGTTGAACTTTCCGAAGAATCTGAGACGTGTAGATCTGATACATTGTCTGCCACTTTCATCTTGTACAAAGCCAAATAAAAGAATATATTTTGTGAACGTGCTTGTCGGCTAACTACTGGGATCACGCGAGGTGGGCTTATTGATCTGCGATTGGTTGACTTCCAGAACAAAAATATTACACAATACGTTCCAAAACGAAAACCAATCATATCGATGAAACCTAAGTTGCCCAACCTCCTAAAACAACAAACACATCTTTAATAAGCACTCTTTCTTTCTACTTCCGCAATTACCTCTATTAGCACAGACTATGGAGGAAGAATTCGACGGTGAGCCAAGAATTGGTGGGCATGATGTTGTGTTTGTAGATGAGTTGTCTCCAGGCCAAATCTGCCCCGTATGCCTTCTTGCCATGCGGAGCCCCGTACAGACTGTGTGTGGTCATCGATTCTGCGAAAGCTGCTTGTTAGAAACATTCAGGTACTCTATGTTTAATATGATGTTCTGTTTGTGTAAGCTGCACATCTCGGCAACAACAAACGATCGATACCAAACTGTTCGCATGCCAATGCCGGAGTACTGTAGTCGAGGGCTCAATGTCTACAGTATATAGAATACATGTCTGATGCTACCCATATCAGCCGCCAGCTAATATTTGATTTACATTCCTTCAGGGGAGATCATGATCCTGCAATTTGTCCAGAAGATAGGAATCCTTTTACTGAGGATGGATTGGTGAGTTTACTGAAAACCGCAAATTTCTATCATATATTGTAATGATCAATATTCCAAACAGCCCTCGGCTATCATTGTTCTGTTCAATTTTCAAAATTTGTTTGCTTGTTTCAGTGTCTTCAATTAGTAAAGAAGTGCTAAATTTTTGAAGGTGATTTATTTTTTTTACTTACCAGACACTTTTTTGCGAGAAAATGCAAGCCGGAAGCAATAAAATTGCGCTTTTGTGCCACGGGTAGAAAGAAAGTAACATATGAAAGAAAGAAACATATGACAAAAACAGAAATTCGTGTTGAGGAAACAGGAAACCCTAAGAAAAAGCAGCAGATTGAGTTACAAGAAGTTCTTGTTTGGGTCACATGCACGAGTGCATGACCAGGCTCAGCATTACAGGAAGGGCTTAGATTCCATCCAAGACTCATGTGGTTTCAATATCCTTTCTAGGGTTTCTATGATCAGAGGGGAAATTGCCGGGTTATTTACAACAAATTAAACTTCCTTCCTTTTCTGTTCTGCATTTGAGCTCATTTTCCGCATGTTCGGCATTCCGGCCCTGCATGGCGTAACCTTGGTTTCCTAAATGTACCCCGACGACCACAATATGACCGGAGTGTTTAGATGTAAACATATAATTGATTTCTATATATATATATATATATA